TGAATCACAGCTGTACAGTTTTGATTCTCAGTTTATTACCTATAAGCTCAGCTTCTCATAGTCAAGTACTATAAATACAACAAAATAGATTTTCATTAAATTAAAATCACTCTATAAAGAAACCAGTGACAGAAATCTTTGCCTTTCGTTATATACAAATATATATGCTTACTTTTATATGGTTAGTTTGTTGGTAGCTTGGGAAATGTCCTGCAGGTCACCTCCTACAGATCCCTTTTCCTCTCCAAATATTCTGTTTTTCTTTTTTTCCGCAGTCGCCCAATCCTCCCCAAATGGCAAAAAGTGCTTCTACTGTGATGGACTATCGTGCACCGCAACTCTCAACTGTGAAGGGAATGAGGACCACTGCATCACAACAACAGGTAACAGCCCTACGGCATGTAGTGTCTACTATGTGCTCCGCATATTTCCTCTCCTCAGAGGAATGTTTAGTGATTCTAGCACACGTATTAAAGCTTGAAGCTGGCACACTGACATTATTTACATTCCACCAGTGAATACAGGAGGGGTATCGGTGGCTGTGAAGGGCTGTGCTTCCAAGATGATGTGCTCAGGTGCTCAAGCTGCTCAGACCATCGAAGCCATTGGAAAAGACAGTAGCTGCTGCCAGGGCGACTTCTGCAACAGCGCCACCAGTACAAGTGCTGGCATTCTGCTCCTGGTGGCACCGCTGATCTCTCTGGTGTTGTTCTCTTAGTTTTGCACAACCTCATAGAGCTTGCACTCGTGTAGTTATTTTTTCAGATGTGTGACAAAGTAGAAATTTAGAAAGCAAAAGACAAAATGTTGTTGCTTTTTGGTCTCCTGCCACATGCCGTTTGTAATCTGCTCATTTTCGTTCTCTTTTTATTATTACTGTTATTTCTTTACACGATGCCTGTACATTTAACGACAAGTGACTTGGATGGTGTTGTGAATGGCAGCGCTGTTTGTTTTTTGTGTCATAGTTTAAACAAGGAGAAAGTTGAAAATAGACTGATGCACATATTGGGTTCTGAGTGCTGTTAGTAACTGACAGATGTTGTGTTTAGAAATATTTTTAAAAAATGCGTTGATGTTATTTGATATGAAGCAAACATAAATAAAAATTCTGCTGAATATATTTCTGTTTTTTATTTTTTTTAAAGTTTTCTAATCCTCTCTCAGTCCCATCAGAAAGTTTAAAGTATTAAATGTTGCTCTGACAAGTTTCCCATTGAATAGTTCAGACTAAGTGTAGAAGTATATACACACCACTATGTGTATCATGATGGGCTCTGTGTTTATCACTCACGACACACCCATAAATTCTGTCGGCCAGAATGTTTACTTGTGATGTGGCGAACCAGAACAAACACCTCATAATTTGACATTTACTGTTTTGGCTGCGTCTCATTCATTGTGAAAGTAGGTCATGCAGGTCAAGGTCTGATTCAAACTAACAGTCTTTATTTGTTGGTTGAAGGCATGTAAGATAAATACTTGTCACTCAGTTGATGAGATTCATTCATCAACTGAGTGGCAATAAATGCCAGTTAGCCAAAGAGAATATGAGTGCATAAGTATAAATGATATAATCTTAAATTATATTTTCACTGAGTGGCAACCTCAAGGGCTGACAAAAGTGGCTGAAATGCCAAAAACTGCACTTCCTCCAACATCCACTTGAGGCTGGCTACAGAAGCGGGTCATTCTCCATAAGCTCCGTGTTAAAATGTTCATCTTTACAGCATAATGAACAATTCTTGCAGCCTGGTACAAAAAGCTGTCCTGGTCTCTACAGCTAATCTCCCCATTCACGACTAGTGTGTGCACTGTGAATTCTTATATAACTCAGCCATATGTATTGTGTTAAGGCTCAAAGCTGTGCATGAATTTTGGACATGGCCGCTTTGAGTAACAGGTGGGCACCCTCACATGGAACTAGAGATGTCGCCTGGCCTGCTTCAGCTTCACTCATGCTCTACTTTTTTGCCCGTTTTAGAACAAGTCTGCAGCTGGTCAACCAGAGACACCACACTGACCTTCAAAGGTCGTGGACAGGAAATCAGTGGGAGACATAAAGGAGTGTTTGTCCATCTTCTTGTGCAGTCATTGGCTTTGACCTTGCATGTGTTTTCACTTGCAAATTAGTGCGGCAATACTACGCTGTTAATTTGAATTGTAGCACTTTACCTATCAAATTGATCTCTGGTGCCTACAACAAACACACACACACACACACACACAAATCAAGAAGTAACACAGGGCCAACAATAATGACAAAATGAATTCTGAACAATAGATAAATGACACCCTGCTAGTAATGGTGAAAAGAGGAAGGTGTGTTGTTTCTCTCAGGCTAAGGAGTAATGATGAAAGAATGGGAAACTACAGCAGTGACTTTTGAGGTGTACACACAGGCTGCAGACGCACAAACTGGAAACTCGCTCTGGTGCAGATCTGCCTGACAACAAGAGTCTAACCAGACATTTGATATTTCCGGTTGTATGGTCATAAAGAAGAGCATGATGTGTTGTTTAAACCCAGACACAATTTAAGGTTCTAAATATGATCTGCTGTGAAGGCCACATATACTGATCAATTTGAACTAACCAAAAATATCAAACAGCAAAATTTTGAGTTTTATTTAGAGCTTATTAAAGCATATGACCAAAAAAACAAACAAACTAGATTTAGTTTAGGCAGTTTATTGTCACATGCACAAACAAGCCATGACATTCAATCCACTGACAGGTGAAGTGTATCATATTGATCATCTCCTTACCATGCAATGTTCTGCTAATTTTGGGTGCTTGCATTCATGTGGGTGCTACTCTGATACATACCACCCACGTAAACATTGATCCAGGCCGCCTGCATGGCAAAAACACTCCCAAACAGCAGCATTTTCCCCCAACACCACACCGCAGAAACCACTCAGGAACAGCTCGAGGAACATGACCAAGAGCTCCAGGTGTTGACCCGGCCTCCGAACTCCCCAGGTCATGTCGACTTTTAGAGGTATGAGGAGGACGTAATATTAGTCAGGTGGTTTTAATATTTTGGGAGGGATTGGTGAAGTTTTGCACAATGTTACACGCCAACATTAATCATTATTAGCTGTTGATGTCTGTCTTCAGAGTCTATATTGGTTTGTTCCCATCTTTAACTGTGTTTTTGTTTGTCTTAACTGGCAAGAAAAGAGTAAAAGGGGCTAGAGGGACCTTTCTGTATGAATTTGAAAACATCCAGTTGATGATTTGTCGCAATGTGTACACTCTTCAGCAGTTTATTCGGTAAGAAGCCAATGAAACGCAACAATGAAGGCAATTGAAAACTAGTGTCTGGTGATTCTTTGAATTCAGCCGAACTGGTAACTATAGAGCGCTTAAAGGCAGATTTGCTTTTATGAGATGCTCTTTAAGCTTAAGATGAAAAATCAACCATCATAGAGTGGTGGTGAAAAATATTGATACCATGTAAGAACATACATTTCCCCTGAAGCTACAAAATCTGCTTTCTCTTGTTTTAACATTGACTATAAAACAGCAGTTGTAATTTTTTTTAGCTTTATAAACAGCTATCTCCCAACAACTGAGGTCAAATGAGAAAAAAAGCATCTTTATTGTTGTTTTTAGCTAGTTTACAAATTCAGTATCATGGCAGCAGATTAATGGCATTTTACATCCTTCAAAGTATGAAGTAAATGATGTTTAAATGAAGCTGAAGCTGAAGCTGAAGCAGGAAAATAATCTCATACTGCAGCTATGTTTTGACGTTCACTCTCTTTCTTCCTGCTACCACCACATCACATCAATAGAGCTCGTTCCCCCCAATGCTAAACCAATCAGACTAACCACAATACGTACAGCTCATAGCATCACTAAGCCTTTAACACGATGTCTGACTACTCCTCACATCTTTACCTTACTGGACACTCCATGTACAATAGATCACCAAGCCTTTCTTTCTTTCAAGTCTTTTCTAAATGAAATGAAGTTTACATGCATCATTTCTCCCCCATGTACTGTGCAGTATGTATGAATATAAAATAACAACAGAAGCACGCTGCTGGAAGCATGAGATGTTTTCCAAGATGTCTCTGAAGATCTGCATTTGGAAATCCTGCAAGAAATTTAAGGAAAGTCATTGGTTACAATCTTAAATTGCTCTCTGCAGTGTGTTAGTTTGTTACACAGGACAAAAACAAAACATGCAAAAAGGTAGAACATGTGACCACAGTGTGCATTTGGCTCAGAAAAAGCCACTAAATAATGGCAGATAACTATTGGTAAAAAAAAAAAAATACAGTTTTTCTTAACTCTTAAAATATTGCCAAACTGACATGATTTAAAAACAGTTAAAAATATTCTTGAGTTTCCTCTACTTCTTCATAGAGGTGCAGGATTTTATATTGCAGCCCACAGTGAGTTAAAATCTGACAGGAGCACAATCAAGAAACAACTCTGTGTTCAGAGGGTTAATAGTTAGTGGAGAAATGTACAAAAGAAACGACTGAAGTCGTTTATGTAGATGATTTGGGGTTTACCACTTCCCACAACAATGGCACTAACCAGGCCTAATGAGGTTAAAGCCGCCTCCGGTTGCTGGAAAAAAAACAGAACAAACAGGAAATGAGATGATTAATATGTAACTGAATGAAACACAATGGTGGGATGTTGAAAGGAGCTCGTCTGGAAAACTCACTCCTTTGGGGATGGAAAGTGCGGTTTGTCGACATGAGTGCCAAACACTACACCGTTGGCGTTGTTTCTGGAGGAGGAGGAGAAGAAAATCACAGTCTCAGCTTTAATCTGTTGCTTACTGCTACACTAGGATCATGTGATGTTGTGGGGGAATGCAGATAAACACTCACAAATAGCCAACACTGATGTTTGCAGTATTTCCCTGGTGTCTGCAAAGGTGATAAACATTTCATTTGTAATATTTGACAGTTTCAATTAATGTCTGATTTTTCATCCATGTTGGAAGAGAGTCAAAAAGCAAAAGGATAAAAGTGTTACCTTGACAACCTGCTCCAGAATGACTTCCTATAAAGATACCACCAATTAATATGAAAGTGTTGAACAGGAATGTTTACAGTGAGAATGATAAAATCTAGTTTACCTTGGCGACCTCTCATTTTGCCACCCGATGCGATCGTCCTCTGCACTGCTGAAAAAGGAAGACTTGTAAGCGTGAGGTATTTCAATTAAAAGTAAATGTTTCACAGGCCTTTAGGTGTTCTTACCGGGTAAATCGCCTCCACAAAGACTTCCTGTTTGGAGAGCACATGATTATTTGCAAGCATGGTGCCACTTTATTTGTGTCAAAACAAGCCGTCTCCTTACGTACCGTTTTTCCGGCCTTGGAGGTCTCTCCCTGTCTTCAGGAAATCTCCTGGACAATTTTGATGAGGGTAATATTTTTTTTAAAAGTAGGACGAAGTTTAAAAAAAATAAATAAATAAAAGGAAAAAAAGACTGTATTGCAGAACATAGTTCATCAGATGCAAGTTTGAATAAAGCCTACCTTGACATTCTGTCCCACAGTGACCTCCTGTGGAAGTTTGAATTGCAGAGGAAGATATTTAGCTTTAAATAACTTGAATTGTTTGAAAACACCTTCAGAGGAGCCGAGTCTTTTGTAAATTCTGGAGACATCAGTGCTCCTTACTGAAATGTTTCATCATTTTGCACGTCTACATTTAAATACATGCCTTTTCTCTGGTCGAGGTGGTGGTGTCAGCGAGTCATTCCTGTTCTTCCTGGGGGGGGGAAATAATGCTGTAAATACAATACTTCCAACTCTAAAGCTAAAAAAAAAAGCTACACTAATGAATCTTTAACATTCTAAGATAGACAAGCATCATTGGATTTGATGTTACAAATGTACTGGCACATTTTGAAGTGACACAACTTTACCTTTTCTTGCACATGAACACCATCAACACTACAGCTACGATGATGACGATCAGGACTACGAGTGAGACTGGAACAGACACCGGAAGTGAGCTTCTCAGCTGGTACATGAGTGATCCTGGACATGTAGGAACATTTTAAGGTTCATGCAACTATAGAAAGAAAAAGTCAATGTATGAAATGCTGGAGGAAGCGTGTGCTCTAACCTTTCACATTCAGCTTCACAGTGCTGGCTTGTTGCTTGCCACGCCAAAAGGTGGCAGTACAGGTCAGGCCTTGGACTCCGTCTCCTCCAGCGACCATGAAAGTGATGGTGGATGTGGTCTCCCAGATGCCACGCGACGTCAAGGTGTGTGAGACCTCACTGCTCAGGTTAGGGACGCTCCACGAGAACACGGGAGGGTGCGACTGACACGTGTGTGCAACAGAACACGAGACGGTTATGGTTGAACCAGCATCCACTTCTGCTGGAACTGCGGTCATCACTGGTTTATCTGGGGAAGCTGAACACGTCACACACAAAGCAGAGTCTTAATGCAGCTCAAGAAGCAAAAGGACAAATTTCTTGACACGTGAGAGTAATCTAAACACAAACCTTTCATGACAATAAACACGCAGCTGTTGTTGAATCTGTGTTTTTCATAACCCCTCTCTGCATGGAAGCAGAAGGGCCCATTGTCAAAGGGTTTGATGTCATCGATCTCCAGCGAGCAGTTCCCTTCGTTCAGATCTCCTAGCATTTTGGTTCGGCCCTTAAAGTGGTCGATTACTTTGCTCTGGCCATTATGGAAGACAACGCCTCCTGTCTTTTTGGACCAGATGCCACGACTCAGAGGGACACTGTCTTCGTACTGGAAGCTGCAGGGAATCACCACACAGGAGTGTGTCAGGGCGCTGAACCTGAAGGGGACGTCAGCAGGCAGAGCATGGAGTGCTGCGAAGACAGAAAGAAAAGCCACAATTCAATACCAAAACCAATCCTCTTGTGATGCTACTTGATAAAAGAGTTTTGAATGACGTGCACCCACTGTCGTTTTCATGAGGGTCTTCGACTGGTTTCACGTATTCTGGAAAAACAAAAAATGACAGAAAGAAATTGATTTAATCTTTAAATATTATGTCATCATCACAGGACAGTTTGACACTTTGAGATCATTTTTCTTCACTTTCTGGAGAGTTAGATGATCGATAGATTGATGTAGCATCTCAACAGCTCACAAGTGAACTAGTTTCATCCAAAAAGTTTATATAAAGACAACAAGCTGTCATTTTGGGGGGATTTCTGAATGGCTTGATAATTAAGCCGGACGTATGCTCTCTCCATGCTGTATGTCACATGGTTGGTTACCTTCAGAAACCCACACCTTTGCCATCAGAGAGCATTGCTTATTCAGTGTAACTTTCCAAAACTAACTCGGCATCATTCACACCCACTTCACACCTTGACTGTGTGAACACCAAAGAGAGGAGACGAGCCTTATACTTCTCATTTAGGCCCTCTTTTTTCTTCTGATTTGTGGCAGTGTAGACATCATACAAGCACTTTAAGGACAAGCTCACTTGTTGTAACTGTTTTGAGGTACGAAACAACAGATACTACATTTATAAAGCACTTGATTAAATTTTAATTATTTAAAAATACTATTCGTGTTAATAGGACGAATGAAAATGAAATGTAGCTGCGGTTTTCAGTACCGCAGAGGGTTAGGTCTGTTCTTCTTTTGTTTTGCAGTAGTTGTCATAAAATGTGGCTTTCATTTCTGTTTTTTGAGGTAAGTTCTTAGTATAGTGGCCACAAATAAACATTATTATCTGTAAGCTTTAATAAAGTAACGAATCACCCCCATGCATGCGTGACATACTGTTATAATTAAGTATGATTCAAGCTATTATGTGTTCTGAGTCTGTATTTTTCCATGATTCCTGTGGTTCTTATAATTAATTAAGTTTCAAGTTATTATGTATTCTGAGTTTGTATTTTGTACTGAGCTTATAATGTGTCTGGTGAGAACCGGTTGGCACACTTGGAGACAGCAGAAATTCTTCTTTTTATTAGATACGATTGCTTCTTTAGCTACACGCCGTACCAACAACATCCACACACGTTGCTTACTAAATGTCAAGGACGTGGACAGAGCGCAGAAGAAGTATGCCAGTCCACGTCCTTGGTAACTGGCCAATTAAACTCGGTAGCGAACAAATCTTATCTATGTTCGGGTCAGGCCCAGCCCAAGAAGATATCTGTAACCTGGAATCGAAAAATCTCAGTTCAGCTGGACATGAGAGCACTCTCTGTCTGCCTGAATCCAGCGCTGTGAAACTTTACCTGTGACCTAAATAAACTGTTTAACCTGAGACCTGAACTTTTCTCCGACTATTCCTTGGAGCTGTTTCAACAAAAGAACTGGGTCTAACAATACCAAAGATGTGATATGCATGATCCTTGAGAATGAAGATACTGAGAAACAAAAAATGAGAACAAAAATAACAAACTGTCCTCCAAAATTTTACAAAGAGTCGTCAGTTAGCACTTTTTTTTATGTCTATGAAATGTTTCCTTTAAGAGATTTTCTCAACAATATCCCATCTCCTACTCTTTGCCCTTCTCTATGACAGCCAGCTTTTCAGTGTAGCTACTGTACTTGGCTATAAACACAATTGATTTCCAGTGTCGTCAGGCAAGACACCTTGAAAACTACTCTGGGAGTCCATAATCCAGCCCTTAGAGAGCTTGAGAAGGTGCTTTGTTATTGTTTGATTGAGCCAGGCTTCCTGTTTTCTCTTGTTTCCAGTCTTTGTGCGAAGCCAGCCAAATGGCTCCATACTTACCAGAGATATGAGAGTGGTGTCAATCTAATCTAGCTCTCCACCAGAAAGCTCATAGCCAAGTCGTATTTCCTGAAGTGTAAAACTATGAAGTGTGTGTGACATGTAGAAACTCACTTTTTATATGAAGAGTTACAGAGTCTGACGTCTCCCCAGTTTTAAACTGAGCAGTGCACGTCAAAGGTTTGCCATCGTCGCCCAGAGCTCCAATAAAAGTCAGATTTGATGCTGTCTCGTACTTGTTTCCGGAGATCTGTTTGGTGCTTAATGAACTCTGCATGTCTTCAAAGTTCCACACGATGGTTGGTGTGTTCTTCTTGCATGTGTAGGAAACGGAACAAATAACACTCTGTGCCACACCCTCTGTGGCCTCGCCGGGTGGTTCAACCATTTTGATTTCCTCGTACGGACCTGAGCAGAAATGTGACAGCGGCGCTTAAAACAAAGGAGCTTTTTAATCCTACACTCACCGGCCACTTTATTAGGTACAACTGTTCAACTGCTGGTTAACACAAATATCTAATCAGCCAATCACATGGCAACAAGGTGAGCATCTGAGCATCAGAATGGGGAAGAAAGGTGATTTAAGTGACTTTGAAATGGCTGCCAGATGGGCTGGTCTGACTACTTCAGGAACTGCTGATCTGCTGAAATGTTCACGCGCAACCATCTCTTGGGTTTGCAGTGAATGAACTGATAAAGAGAAAATATCCAGTGAGCAGCAGCCCTCTGGATGGAAATGAATGAGGAGAATGGCCAGAATGGTTTGGGATGACAGAAAGGCAACAGTGACTCAAATAACCACCAGATACAACCAAGGTATGCAGGAAACAATCTCTGAACGCACAACACGTTGAATCATTGGTGAAGCAGATGAGCTGCAGCAGCAGAAAACCACTCCTGTCAGCTATGAACAGGAAACTGAGGTGACATTTCGTACAGGCTCGACAAAATTGGAAAACAGAAGATTGGAAAAACGTCACCTGGTCTGATTTCTGCTGCAACATTCAAATGGTAGTCAGTCAGAATTTGGCATGAACAACATGAAAGCATTGATCCATCCTGTTCAGGCTGCTGCTGCTGGTGTAATAGTGTTGGGGGTATTTTCTTGGCCCAGTTTGGGCCTCTTACTACCAATTGAGCACCATTTAAACACCAGAGCCTGCCTGAGTATTGTTATTTACGATGTCCATCCGTTTATGACAACAGTGTACCTATCTTATGATGACTACTTCCAGCAGGATAACGCGCCATGTCACAAAGCTCAAATCATCTCAAACTGCTTCCTTTAACACGACAATGAGTTCGTTGTACTCTATTGGCCTCTACTGTCACCAGATCTCAATCCAACAGAGCACCTTCGGGAGATTCGAATCAAGAATGTGCAGCCGACAAATCTGAAGCAACTGCGTGATACTATCGTGTTAATAGGGACCAAAATCTCTGAGAAATGATTCTAGCACCTTGTTGAATTGAGGCTGTGAAGAATCAAGACAGTTCTGAAGGAAAAAGGGGCCTCCTAGATGGTACTAGCAAGGTGTTCCTATTAATGTGGTCAGTGAGTCTATTTTCAGAACATGACAACACATCTTGCATTCTACTCACATTCAACATTCAGTTTGAGCTCATTTGAGGCTTTCTGACCACCTGGGTAGGATACAGAGCACTTGACGCTCTGGTGGTCTTCTGCTGCAGTCCAGGTTCGCTCCACTGTTGTTTCCCACATCCCGTCAGATACCAGAGTGTCCACAGTGCGATCTGTTCCATGTATACCACTGAGGGTGAGGGTGGGGGGATCAGAGAGGCACGTATGACGTACACTGCAGGACACTCTGCTCTGCTCTCCCACCCTGGGGATACCAATGATGCTCAGCTGTGGTTCCTGTACATGGTCTGTAAAATCAAAGCAAGAATAGAGAGCCAAAGTGAAACTGGAAGTCGCGGATTCTGTTTCACAAGTATGAAAACCTCATATTAATGACTGAAAGTACAGCCTTGGAGCAGACACTTTCTCCACAGTGGTTCTTGTGCTGGATGCTGTTGTGCATTTGTACAAAATCTCCATAAACATGTTTCAGTTTTTCACTAACATCAATGGGAACTGAATAAATGCTTACCTGAAACAACAAGCTGAGTGCTTTTATCATAAAACGAGTGGCCCATGGTGTGGAAGGAGGTAATGGGGTTCTTATCTATCCACGGGTAGAGTCGGACCTGATTGTGGGACATTTCCAGCCTCTCGATTTTGAGGCTACAATTGCTCTCACTCACAGATCCCATCAAGCTGGTTTTCCCTCTGAACTCACTGATAACATCATTTCCTCTTTGGTTGAATACAGCTGGGTATCCACTGCTCTGGTACTTGTACCAGATAACTTGGAGGTTAGAAGGCTGGTGGATGCTGTAGGTGAATTTGCAGGGAATGATGATACACGAGCCTCTCAGTCCTGTTACGCTGCCAGGAGTGGTGAAGGACCAACCCCGAGACAGCATATTCCCTGTAACAAGAAGTCACATTTGATGCAAAGTTGCTTGTCCTTTAAGCAAGTCATCAGTTGGTGTCAAGAAAATCTGGCTATCCTTTCCAGTGTTTGAATTTAATTGAGTTAAGTTCATGGTATTGCATTGGCATATATTTCTAATTAAAGTGTTGAATCATTGTCATGCATGAACCAAACAACAAGGATCGACAAATTATCCATCAGAACGAAGATACCGAAAAACAGAAATTCAGGACAAAAATACTAAACTGTTCCCCAAAATTCTACAAATCATGCTTTCATGGGACCTGGAATTTGCACAGTGATCTCCTTTAACAGATTAATGTTCATCTTTCTAAACAATACAACATCTCCACCTCTTTCCTCTTTTCTGCAACGGGCAGCTGTTGACTCTGCTTTAGCATATCCATTGTACTTGGCTACAAACACAATTGAGTTCCAGTATCATAAGGCAAGACACTTTGACTACTCTGGCTTCAATCTAATCGAGCTCCACCACAAAACATGTCAGCATATCTTATTATCAAAAATGTCAACCTGTTGACTGTGTGTGACTCACTTTTTATATGAAGAGTTGCAGAGTCTGAGGTCTCCCCAGTTATAAACTGAGCAGTGCACGTCAAAGATTTACCATCATCCTCCGGAACGCCAATAAAAGTCAGATGTGAGACTGTTTTGTACGTATTGGAGATCTTTTTGGTGTTTAATGAACTCTGCATGTCTTTGTAGTTCCACATGATGGTTGGTTTGTTCTTCTTGCATTTGTAGGAAACGGAGCAGACAACACTCTGTGCCACACCCTCTGTGACCTCGCCGGGCGGTTCAACCATTTTGATTTCCTCATATGGACCTGAGCCAAAATGTAACAGTGACGCTTAAAGCAGTGGAGCTTTTCAATTGTATTTTCAATACATGACAACACATCTTGCATTGTACTCACATTCAACTTTGAGTTGGAGCTCATTTGAGGCTTTCTGACCACCTGGGTAGGATACAGAGCACTTGACACTCTGGTGGTCTTCTTCTGCAGTCCAGGTTCGCTCCACTGTTGTTTCCCACATCCCGTCAGATACCAGAGTGTCCACAGTGCGATCTGTTCCAGGTATACCACTGAGGATGAGGGTGGGGGGAGCAGAGAGGCACGTATGACGCACACTGCAGGACACTCTGCTCTGCTCTCCCACCCTGGGGATACCAATGATGCTCAGCTCTGGTTTCTGTACATGGTCTGTAAAATCAAAGCAAGAATAGAGAGCCAAAATGAAACTGGAAGTCCTGGATTCTGTTTCACAAGTATGAAAACCAGTGGCGGCTGGTGAAATGTTTTGGGGGGGGGTGTGCAGTCTGAAAATGACCGTTTATTTTAAATCAGAAATTAGAATATGAGTAACATCAGACACAACTATTTACAGGAATGCATATTTTCTATCTTTGGAGGATATTCTAATCATAAACTAACTTCACATTATTAAGACCAACCAGAATTAAATTTCAAAACTATTCATTAAACTTTCATCAATATTTACAGCATCTGTTCAAACACAAAACACACAACATACATAATGAAAAACACACTGTTCAGGCCTCCAGACTAACTTTTTCACTGGTAGCACCAGTACGACCCACTTTCTCATTTTGTTGCACCTCCCACCTGGTCACACAAAACATACGACTTTCTGAACATTTTCTTATCGACTGACGCTTTGATTCACTGATGCTCCCTAAACGCCCCACATAGCAGACTGAGGTAGATGCTGTTGATGGCTGTGGTGTGCTCTGACAGGTGTGTGACCAAACATGACTTTAAAAATAATAAACTAGGGCGTTCTAATTTGTCCGAGGTTAAACCGAGTTATATTTATTCTACACGCAGTCTTTTCTGTGAGTGGGAATGCAGCGAATGTAGGTACGCTCTGTTTTTCATGAGAAGATCTAATTTTTAAGTGTAAATACTGCAGTACACCGAAGTCATGAAAGTTCTACTTTCCACCACTGTGGTCCACACAGCAGATTCCTGTGCCGGTTACAGCCACACTAACACAGCTTTATGATCATCATGCTCATCAAATCACACACAGTCTGGAGCTATTTGAAAAAAAAGCTATTTGATATCCAACCACAGAAGACAAAAGCAAATAAAGACTAAATTATTGGCTTACAGAAAAAGTGGACAGAGCTGCGCCCCGTGAGAAAATCTGCAGCTGCCAATCAGAGCCCAAGCCAAAGTCACATGATCATGAAAAGTTTTTCAAGCTACATACACACTGGTGGCCGGCGACCCGCATCCAGGAAGTGTAAAATTAGTAAATGTGCAGTGAAGACTAATTTTGAATCTCTTAATAATACAAATATTGATAATATGGCAAAAGAATATGAATGATATTGTCAATTTTATTATTATTTTGTTATAATTAATTCAAATTTAATACTGCTTTTTTATCTGGTCATTGGTAGTGGGGCCCCTGTGCCCTGTACTGACCAACCGCCACTGATAGAAAACCTCATATTAATGACTGAAAATACAGCCTTGGAACTGAATAAATGCTTACCTGAAACAACAAGCTGAGTGCTTTTATCATAAAACGAGTGGCCCATGGTGTGGAAGGAGGTAATGNCCACCCTGGGGATACCAATGATGCTCAGCTGTGGTTCCTGTACATGGTCTGTAAAATCAAAGCAAGAATAGAGAGCCAAAGTGAAACTGGAAGTCCTGGATTCTGTTTCACAAGTATGAAAACCAGTGGCGGCTGGTGAAATGTTTTGGTGGGGGTGCGCAGTCTGAAAATGACCGTTTATTTTAAATCAGAAATAAGAATATGAGTAACATCAGACACAACTATTTACAGGAATGCAAATTTTCTATCTTTGGAGGATATTCTGATCATAAACTAATTTGACATTATTAAGATTGACCAGAATTAAATTTCAAAACTATTCATCAAACTTTCATCAATATTTACAGGATCTGTTCAAACACAAAACACACAACATACATAATGAAACAAACACTATTCAGGGCTCCAGACTAACTTTTTCACTGGTAGCACCAGTACGACTCACTTTCTCATTTTGTTGCACCTCCCACCTGGTCACACACAAAACATACAACTTTCTGAACATTTTCTTATCGATAGACGCTTTGATTCACTGATGCTCCCTAAACGCCCCACATAGCAGACTGAGGTGGATGCTGTTGGTGGCTGTGGTGTGCTCTGACAGGTGTGTGACCAAACATGACTTTAAAAGTAATAAACTAGGGCGTTCTAATTTGAGGTTAAACCGAGTTATATTTATTCTACACGCAGTCTTTTCTATGAGCGGGAATGCAGCGAATGCAGGTGCGCTCTGTTTTTCATGAGAAGACCTGATTTTTAAGTGTAAGTACTGCAGTACACCGAAGTCTTAAAAGTTCTACTTTCCACCACTGTGGTCCACACAGCAGATTCCTGTGCCGGTTACAGCCACACTTATACAGCTTTATGATCATCATGCTCATCAAATCACACACAGTCTGCAGCTATTTGAAAAAAAAGCTATTTGATATCCAACCACAGAAGAAAAAAGCAAATAAAGACTAAATTATTGGCTTACAGCAAAAGTGGACAGGTCCCGGACGCACCGAGCTGCGCCCTGTGAGAAAATCTGCAGCTGCCAATCAGAGCCCGAGCCGAGGTCACATGATCACGAAAAGTTTTTCAAGCTACATACACACTCATGTGGTCGGCGACCCGCATCCAGGAAGTGTAGAATTAGTAAACGCGCAGTGAAGACTAATTCTGAATCTGCTAATAATACAAATATTGATAATATGGCAAAAGAATATGAATAATATTATTAATTTTATTATTATTTTGTTATAATTAATTCAAATTTAATACTACTTTTTTATCTGGTCATTGGTAGTGGGGCCCCTGTGCCTTGTACTGACCAGCCACCACTGATAGGAAACCTCATATTAATGACTGAAAATACAGCCTTGGAACTGAATAAATGCTTACCTGAAACAACAATTTGAGTGCTTTTATCATAAAACGAGTGGCCCATGGTGTGGAAGGAGGTAATGGGGTTCTTATCTATCCACGGGTAGAGTCGGACCTGATTGTGGGA